TCTAGGGGAGGAATATCGACCACCCTCACATCGTCCTGGAGATTTGCTTTGCGGAGGCAAGTGCGGATAGCGGAGCTCATTTGATCTGAAATGAAAGGAACACAGAATGGTATCTTCTCCTGTTCTCTGTATCGCCGTCATCTAGCCTAGCTCGCCGTCCTTTTCGTGCCAGCTGCCCATGATTGTGATACGGTGAGCTAAGATGATTGACTCTTGCGCCGTCGGATGAACGAGGGATGGGCAGAACTGTAGTGGACGATGATATTCTTGTTGATGGGCTTTGATACCATCTGATTCTGTAAGTAGCCCGCGATAAATGAACCTGCAGTTTATCATCCCTTCATGATCACACTGCCGTCATCATCACAGCGTAATTTACGAAACAGGAGCAATGCGAGACGTTCTTCCTACTAGATGATGCCCATATGCGGCCCTCACGTATCAAGAAACGTTTAACCGTATCGTTGCACTAGGAAAATTATACATTCAAAACATTGAACCTACTTTCATGCAGTGTACGTCAGATTTAGATAAGAGCGCGTTCGTACTTCGCGGTCGCGCAATTGGATCGCACGATCCAGTCGCAAAGTATGAACGCGCTCTAAAGCAGAAAAGGGAAAGCTGCGACGTGACGTGGCCATGGTCCCTGCGGTCCGCACTACCAAGTTCTCCTTTCTAGTACAATCGTCATCCATTTTAATGTAAAAAAACCTACTACGTGACAAAACATTTGTGCAATTATTCGCGAGAGGAGGCGGCCTTCATGCAAATCGGTTTAGCTGGGCATCGTATTTTGCGGCTGCTGCCGCACTCAAAACCCTCAGAGACAAATATGATCCCATAATTTCGGAGTTTCCGCAGGACTCCTCCACCTTACTGGTTTTTTCCTCTACTATTCACAAATGTCTTGTTGTAAAATAGTCCTGAGGTAGTATTATGGAATCACTCTCTATATCGTTTGCAGGACATTTGATGTGGACTGTCGGCCGAGAACAACTGGTGGAGATCCTCTGGACGTACGACTTCGATGTGATGAGTGCTCGCTACCAATTTCAGTCAACGATCTCAATGATGGCACTTATGAGTTGTCCTTCAGGTGGGAACTTTCAGCGAATCTCTCCATTATTTATGTTGCTTTTCTATTGGCTCATCAACTGGAATATCACAGTTTTTAGATGGACCCACTTTTTCAGGGTACAACAGTCTGGCGACTATGTGGTTGACGTGGACATTTTTGGTCGTCCAATAAAGAATAGCCCATTCCCCGTATCGGTTTCATCGCACCACATGCCAAAGTGAGCTAATTCTTGAAAGCCCGTTAGAAGTTTGCCTGAAGTTTTTAAACACTGAATGTGACCACAGTTAAATGATAACCAAAATGGATAGGTAAAGCTACTGTTCACAGATGGCAGTTGCCTGTTGAACTTCATCAACCTGTCAAAGTAGCAATGAATGGCGATCACGTGCTTCATGTTCTTGACACTGGTAATGAAAGAGGTTGGTCTGAATCACTATTTTCGAAATTTTCAGACCTACTCTTTTCCCTTTATTCTTGGAACGCAATCGGCGCAATGGCTGGGGGTGGGCCGTTGTTGCCAGCGTCATTGGTGGGCGAACTGCTAGACGGCGTTTTCTACACCCCATTACCCTTCCATTAATGACGTTGGCAACAGCTGCCCGCCCCCAACCATCGTGCCCACTGCCTTTAATTGCTGCTGTGGAGGTTTGACAAAGGAGCGGTGCTCGGTGACTAAACAGAAGGCAGGAGTCTCTCCATCAATGATCAGATTTGTTTGTTCATTTGTGCTGAGACTATACTTCGCTGCAACGGTTGGGCGTGTCAGGCGGGATGAGTTTGGCGCGGTGCCAAACCCGTTCTCCACCAGTTGTTAAAGCGAGCAATGATATGACTGTATCATATCGTTCGTATTACTCGTTTTCTACCACTGGTTCGCATGCGCGCTTCAACAAGAAGGCAGAGAATGGCTTTGACGGCGTGACACACTCATACTGCCCGCCCAACCGTCCACAGCGAACAAGAGTGTATGTCCTCTTGTGTTCAAGCCAATCAGAGCATTCCAGCTAATGCTAGACTAGAAGAGTAGAGGAAGCAGTGCTTGTAGGCAAGAGTTGTGGGCTGTAATCGTTTTATTCTAGTGCGCAAACATATGATCCATTAGGCTGCATTCATATTTTGCGGCACCGTCTACCAGCGACCAATAGCGTCCACCAGCGTTCCAAGCATCCGGTAGCGTCAGCGACTAGGATAGTGTAGATATCACTCTAGCGTTTGCCAGCGTCCGGGAAGAAGAGTATGACGGATAGGAGGGTAGTAGACAGTTGGTAGAGTATGGGGAGATAGGAGAATGGCAGACTGCTGATAGAGAGTATGGCGATAAGAGACATTTGTCTTCTACCCTTCAACTCTCCTCTCGTGAACACTGGTAGACGCTGGTGCACGCTGACAGACCCTGCAGACGCTAGAGCGATACCTATTTTTTACCTAGCCCTGGAGACGCTGGTGGACGCTCACAGCGCTGGCTGGCGCTGGGGGACGCTGGAGGACGCTGGCAGACGCTGACAGACGCTAGATCGATATCTACACTTTCCTAGTCGCTGACGCTGCCGGACGCTCGGAACGCTGGTGGACGCTATTGGTCGCTGGTGGACGCTGCCGCAAAGTATAAACGCAGCCTTAGGCTTTCAGCCTTGCGGCTCATTGCCGATAACGGTGAACCGGCTCGTCATGTTAAATTACGACTGCTGTAAGGCTGTGGCATAAAATCATGAGGGGGTGGAAGATCGCTTTGATGGGACGCCAGCTCACGTCCTTGGCCGGTAAGCTTAAGGTTCGTGGGTGAGTTCCGCTTCAGGTTGTCTTTTGCTGATAATTAGCATTCCCGTGATAACTTCCGGATCGCGAACTGCGGCGCTATATAGATGTTACTACGATAATAATTGACCTCCTGTAGATGCTAAATACACTGAGACAAAGTCTTACACTCGTTTTACAGTGAGAATTGTCAAAGACAGCGGTGAAGTGGTCAACGACATCAAAGCACCTTGCCTGAACGGCGGCACAGCCGTTGGTATGGCACTTTTGAGTGGAGGCGATATGGCTATTCTCAATTGGAGGACGAAAAGCATCACACGCCTAGGACCGAAGGGGGACGAGATACAAGTATGGGAAAATATGCCCTTTTCAGTGGATGAATCTTTTGACTTCTATGTAGCGATATGTTTTTTAGAGCATCAGTTTCTCTGAATTCAACGAGCCGATCGATCTTGCTGCTGACCATCGTGGAAGGTATCTTATTGCAGATGCACAAAAAGTGGGTTTGTTTGTATCGCATGACTGTTTGTAAATTAGCCGCGCTTGGATCGGCAGTGAATGTTATCACCCACACCGATCATTTCCTGTCTAGTTTATGCGGGATTTTCATTTATTTTGACTGATTTTTCTGCTCACTGTAGTTTCGATGCCTGTGTTCTTGCAGGTTTTCGTGTTCGACTCGAATTTGCGGCCACAGTTCAGCTTTCCTACTCGCGGGCATACGGTTACCTCGGTGAACGTTGGTCTGGATGACGACATTTTAGTGGGAACAACTCACGGGCTTCTTCTATTCGATGGGGCTGGAAGATTCTTACGAGAGATTCCTATTGCACCGGAGGAACACAAGTGAGTTTCGAGTTGTTTCTCGTTTATCCAGTACATAGAAAATGGCGCGAAGAACTTTGATGTTTCTTTCGAACATCCTGGCAACTGAATTTTGGGATTTCTGCCGTCCTTCCAAGAAATGAAAGCGAAATGCCAGATCGGTCCCTCAATCGGGTGTTCTTAGTAATAGCTTTGAACGCAGGCCTATGGACCATAATGGCTTTCTCTTTCTTATGGTTGAGAATCTAATTTTATCTCTCTCGCTACACCGTGGACATGAGCTGTGGCATTTTTTTGCTAATATCTTCAAGTACTGCTAGGCTAACTGAGTCCACATCCGAAACTAGTTCCACCAGATTAATCATCGTCGAGTTTCATCCCCGTGAGGAATGATGCAGCACTAAATTGACCACCGTACTCTGCAATTTCACTTTTTGTTTGTTATTCGACATTTTCCAATTGCTAACCCCACACAAGATTACCTCAAATTATAGGGGTCGCACTATGGTGTCGACATGTGCAGTTTGTCCTGAAAGTGGCCTTGTCATTGCTGGAGTTGTGGATGCGAAAACGAACAAGGCACAATTGGCGGTAAGAGTTCAAGAAAATATATTCTTTTTTCCATTTTTTGGTTCCTGAGGGAGGGGGGGGGGGGAATCGGTGAGGTACAAGTCTTTGTTGTCACTCCGAGTTGTTCTCAGGCGGCGGAGGGTAATTCTTACTTTTCGGCTGCGAATCTGCTCACCCAAATCTCGAAAGTGCGAAATGCTTTAAAATGGCACAACGGTCCTGTTGCGCAGTCGTGTAGCTCAGATAGACAGAAAACGGCTGCTGCCAAAGCATTGTAAAAATTGCGAAGGAAAATATGGCAAAGCCAGCAGTGGACTTTTTTCAGAAGGAGAGGACCCCGCGGGTTGGTGAGCCTTACTCATCCCAGTCGTGAATTGTTGGAAACAGTGTGAGCGTTCTCTTGTGGTGATAAATGCACAGTTGCGAGGCCGACGAGATCGCCCCAGTAGAACAGACAGCTTGCGAGGGTAGAGGGTTGAATTAAGTTGTCAGTACTCGTATAACGTTGCTGCCTAACCCCTACTATCTCGGATCAGGGAGTGTATGTGGATCAGCCTTTAAAAGACAGACTGTACACTCGCCTCGTGGATCCTGTCCAACATGGTGGGTTGAGTGTGAATGGGTCCGTAGCTGCAGTACTGTGCCACTATCTCTGCTATAGAGTGCGCAGGAATGAGGATGGACGGTAGTGATACCCGGATGCCGTTTCCATACTTGCCCTCGCTGCTGCACGGGCAGGCTAGCCATAGAGAAAAGCGCTACTTGTCTGCGCTTTCTCACTTCTGCTTGTTCTCTAATGCTGAGTGCGTGTATCGGTGTGGGTCCTTGTTATCGATTGTACTGCTGCACATTGAATAGCACGGGCGGAGTAGTAGAAGGGCAGTCAGGTGTCACTACACTCCAGCCCCGTTTCCACTTTAAGCGGAGAAAATGGAGCGCTACTGTAACTTTCAGCCCATTCATCTCGCAAGTGGCAAAGACCGATTGCAGAGGTGAGTGTACAGTGTCTTCGTGATGCGCACGAGGTGCCTCCCATAGACCGAACTGGCCTTGCTGAAGCCGAACCAAAATACTCACACTCAATGAGCCTACTTGGAGAATCTTAACGAAATCTCTCAAACTTTTGATGGCCATCTCAATGTAGTTTGTTTGTAGATTTCCCGCTACAAAGGAGCGTTCGTCTTCTACATCGATTCTTATGGTGCTCGTCTACGACGCCCTTGTGGTGTTTGCGTTGGCACTGGTCCACGAGCTGGACAATGCCTGATAGTCGACCATGCGTCTAATTCGGTGCGGATGTATAGGTTCAAATAATGCTTTAATTGCCCATCATAAAGTGCTCGTGAGCAATATTTCACTTTGAGAATGTGTTAGATCACAAGGTTGGCTACAATGTTTTGCACCTTCCAACTGGGATTTTACTTCTTTTCCGGTGGGACCCACCAAATGATGTAATGTCGATCGCAAATGTGAACTATGCTTATTTTCTGCAATCCGCCTGGTCCCCTTACGAGGGTTAGAAAATGGTGAGCTGCGTGAGAGTGGACAGCACTTTCAGATCGTCTGGGCTAACCAAATTTTCGTTGGCCAGAAGAGCCTAATACAAGCAACTGAAGTGATAATCTGAAATAAGCGTGGATTACACTGGGTTATTGAGTCTAGTCCGAGTTTGGGCAAATTATAGGACCAATGCTTTGATCGTGAGCATACGACGTCAGGAGGGAAAGCTCATTCATACTCCCATGATGCCTTGTACAGCAACGGCTCACGTATATAGCTGTGATGTGGTGCACGGGATCGTTTTGTGGGGCAACATTGCTTGCAGTTTGTAAGCTGCATTACCCAGGCCTCACTAGCACCTTCTTCCCGAGCATAAACCAAACTGCCCAGTGATCAGCAAACTCGCTAAGTACTGATGTTGGGCAATGCAGGGAGTTGATCCAGTGTTCAACACGCCAGAGGTCGTAAAGATGTGGGTGTAGTTCATGATATCCGAGACAAGCGGGGGCTTTGTACCTATACGGCCGAGGTGGTGCAGGATTGCCGTTGAAAAGAGTTGAATCCCAGTGCGAATGGCCCCACTTGCAACGCCTCTTTTGCCGTCGTCGCCACCTCTTCGAGGTACTGAACTACCCCATTACGGTGGAGGAGAGCATGCTGACGGTACAACCTACGAATTTTTTTGGTGACTTCGGAACGTTTTCTGATGGCGGAAGGAAATTGTAGTTGATGCAATGAAGCGGTCATTCGTATGGTATGGAAGGTCACAGTGTGGCCTGTTATTCCATAGCCGTGCCGGTTGTCGCAGTTCAATGCTTAATGAAGAGAACAATCCAGAAAGAAGGTGCTCAACATAGTTGTCCCCCAGATTTCGAAGATTGAATCCCGTTGATTAAGTTCCCACGATACTGAAAGTATGAGCTTCAAAAGCACGCTACTCATAACTTTTTGCTGTTCCGTGTCAAAATGATTGAAGCTTAGCTCGATTGATGGATTTGTTCGTTTTTTTCTCCTTTTTTTCGTAGCAGAAAGTGCTTGGCGCTTTATATCGGTGTTTGTCCGTTTGTGTGATTCAGCGGGTTAACGTCCTTCATCTGAAGCAAAATCGCTGGCTCAAATGAAACTCTCTTTTTTCTGTACGTTCATTATCAAGTCATACGAGTGTGTATGCTATGAGCACCAGTGACGAAGTGTTATCGATTTATAGCATAATCTTATTAATAGATACTTAATAAACTTTTGAATAAATTGCTGTTTATTTCACGGATACGAGTACAAGAGCGGGAGATACCCAAGAGGTTTCTCGATAAGCAGGAGCAGGCTCCCTCCCCATGGATAGCTGGGGAGCAATACACTAGATCTGGAAGACCTCCAACATCGAGCAGCTCCGACAACGTCGCTACGGTCCAGGATATCATCTTCACCGCAGTCGCCAAGGCGGTTGATGGATCTTCACCGCAGTCGCCAAGGCGGTTGATGGTATGGACCGGACGGTTCCTGGAATGAGAAGACCGATATTTTCTTCGTGGACCCCGGACTGAAGGTGAGCGCTGACGGTTACATCGACCAACTCGTGGAGAATATCCTGCCTTCATGTCATCGCCTGTACCTTCTTGGAGACTTCGTACTGCTACAGGATTGGGTGCCTCCACACGGAATCGAAGGGCGTTGGAAAAACTCTCGCCTACTTGGAATGGAAGGGCGTTGAGTACCTGAAGAAGACGGAATATCTAAGTGTGTCACCTGACCTAAACTCCCTCAATTACCCGGTTCGGGCGGAGCTCAACAGGGTGGTCTACAGTGGCGGAGAAATCAACGATCTCGCTGAACTCAGGTACCGAACCATGGTCGCGTGGCTTCTGAACGAGCGCTAGTGAGAGAGTGTCCCCCTAGCGCTCGTCCAGAAGGCTGTGGCGGAGTATCGTGATAGTGTACAATGTGCTGTTGAATATGATGGTGTGTGAAAATGTCCAATCAGAATTTAATAAAAAGTAACTTATGTCGCCTTTAAAGTCGATGAAGAAAAGTGTCTTTTTTGCCTTTCCCTCTGTATATTGTCGTTTTCGCTGTAAACGCTGAGGTGTGCCAATTAACTGGGTTTGACACGGCGCCGGCCCGTTTTCTACCGGATGTTGTCGCTTGCCCTTTCAATAATTAGTGAAGAACGGACAGATGCTGTGCCAAACCCATCCCCCCCCCCCACCACCCAGGCCGTCACGCCCAGACGTCTGCGGCGAAAACGACTGGAAGTAATACCCATTCATGAAGGGATAAGTTTTTCTCGTTCGTGTAGATGGCGTATACATCTACGGCCGCGGCTAAGTGGTTTCAAATAGCCGACTTCAGGAGTCATCAGCGTTGTACAAAGTTTTTGGAGCAGCACTGAGTTAAATTGAATTAATTGGAAATATTGTCAACAGCATGTACTCAGCCCCTGCTTTCTCCCGTCACCCTGTTGAATGACATACTACATAGGTGGCGAAAGGACTGGAAAGACGAAAACTGGTCTTCGCCTCATTGGAAACTCCAGAGAAAAAAGTGAAGGGTGCCCTCCGATTCATAGCAATGACGAACAAGCAGTTTTCAGCAGAATTGACTGCTTCAAACAAGGTTATCACAAATACTTGCAAAATAGGACTCAATTCGGCGACGGGAGGGGGTGGAGAAATTTCGCGCTTTTGCTGCTTCACTAGTTCTGGTTTACAAGTCTCACTCTGGTGGAACCAGTGAACTATTGTGAACTAAGCAGCTTCAGCAGCTCGTCTAGTCACCATGGTAAAACCTGTCCTCTTGTAAGCTCATGAAACTGCTCTCTAGATGGCTCGACACGTGAATGGGAAGTAGCAGAAGTACAGAATGCCCCCCCCCCTCCCGTGGTCAAACTGCCTCAAAAAAAGCCCCAACAGAAGGGAGACCGAAACTCCAAATCAAAAATTGACATGTTGCAAAAGCAGTGTGCATCACGACTGCGCAAAACAAATCAGGCGGGTCATCTTCGGCTACGCGGGAAGGAAAGGGCGTATTACGGCAGTCTTCCCGTTCCAGGTATTCGAACATTACGTGCCCAAATCTCTGTATATATACTTATTAAGGAAAGCCGCTGTTGAGAAGTGTGCTAAAAGTTGAACAGCTATTCGATCTGGTGACAGCCATCATTCGCTGCAATCTTACAGGGCTCTCTAAGGGTGTCTACTAATATCTGATACAATTTTTAGGCGCAGTACTGCTTAGGATTATTTTTCAAAACTGGAAACTGCTGCTGCAAAAAAACAAAAATTTTTCACAACTTGGTTCACCCACACCAGAGCTTCCTCTAGGCTTAGGCAGGAAGGAATCTTCTTGCTTCAGCTAACAGTCCTCTTTCCTTCCTCCCTGCGTTAACTAACCGCATGAAGCGTTAACTACAGTCAACTGCTTTCCGCTTGGCAAACACGAGTAGTTGGCGTCGTTATTTACTCTGCGACGCGTTAGGCGCGTTTCAGTTAAAACAAATAGTCAAAGCTGTATCGCCTGTGATATCTGCATACATAAATGTTGGGACTAACGACTTATCATCTAGCAATCTGTGTCGAGTGGTGTACAGGGGGGGGGAGGCAAAAAAGTTCACTTTTCTTCCTTGACCTGATATTGATGGCGTATAAAGTTAACACATTTATCAAATTCCTTGATCGCGCAGATGTTCTACCACCAAAAATAATCAGACAGCTATTTGAATACTATCATGGACACTCCGCCACAAGCCTACTGAGGTGAAGCGCCCGTCAGATGAAGATTCTGCACGCCAACCCGATGATTCGGTACCTGCGCTTCAGCGACGATAAGTCTGATTTCTTGGCCACTGCAGACCACCCTGTTAAGCTCCTCCCAAACTCGGTAATTGAGAGAGTTCAGATCAGGGGACATTCTTGAATATTCAATCTTCTTCTGGTACTCAACCTTCCTTCGCAATTCCAAAACGTAGGCGGAGATGTGTATTTTTCAAACGCCCTTCCATTTCCAGGTGAAGCGATACCATCCTTGTGTAAGCCAACTACAAAAGTTTCAACAAGGTTGACGGAGCGACGAAATTTGGGGGAAGATAGATAGAATTTTGCTTGATGGTAGCCGTGCCAGCGATTCACTTTCAGTTGGATTTGGCGTATCACTGAAGAAAATATCGCCGCGGTCTTTCCTTTCATGTACGTCCGGTCCATACCATCAACTCGCGCCTTGGCGACTACGGTGAAGATGATGTCCTAGATCGTAGCGACGTTCGGAGCTGCTCGATGTTGGGGGTCTTCCATATCGAGAGTGCTGGTCTCCAGGTAGCTATCCAATAGGCAGTTGACTCCATACCAGAATGTTTCGCAGCTGCTTGAAGAGTAGACAATAAATTCGGAGGTCGTTCTCAGTCAGTTGACGATGACTTCATATTTTCCGGTGCTACAATGAAGGTGAATGGCGGAGAGCCTAGCTCCTGACTATTTGAGATCGTGTCAGGATATCTTCCGCCCTGGTAATCGTCGATCCACGATCCTCTCTCTGGGCTTGCAGACAAAACTTTGACTGATAATGTAACTTGATCGAATAGTGACTTTTTTTCGCCCACACCCCGGCCGCTGTATACGTGTGACAAAAGGTGCAGTCGATAAGAACGCTCGATCAACTCACCTTAAGATTACTTTACAAATTACTTTTTTGGAACGGTCAAGTTCAATTGTAACGATCGAATGCTCGTGTCTATTTACCAGTTGAAGAGAGTTAACCAAAAACAAAGTGCGACTATGGATGTTCATGCAAATATACGAAAGAAATATAAGGCCGTCTTATCATGC